ACCCCCCCGCCCCCACCACACACACACACACTGTTACACTTGTACCACCCTATACCCGCATATCTACTAACCCAGTGCGTAACATTGCTTTTCCAGACAAGATGTCGCAGGTGCAGTTTGCCATGGTGCCCAGCCCCCCCAAGGGCCCCTCCCCCCAGGGCAGCCAGGCCCCCACCCCCCTGCACGAGGAGCACGCCTCCCCCACCCTGCACGCTCTCACCATGGCCAAGAGCTTCGTCAGGAGGTGGAGAAGAAACCACGAGCAACAGGTCAGTATTTTTAACCTTTCTGCAATCATACACAGGCATCCCAGGGCTCGAAATTCATTTTTGGGATTAGGTACACTGGTGCACCCTTAGTACAAATATGGGTGCACAGAATTTTTTGGGGGGGTGCACCATGTGAAACAAACCTCACACACCTTACTCGAAGTTACTCCCATCTGATATTTGGGAGCTAACTTCAAAATCCTTCACAACAGTACTACAACAAAGATTTTTTTTCTGACAATTTGATGTCAAGAATTCCTGACATATATTTATAGTACATTGTTTACATTTGTGTCATGTTATGTGTCTGTATACTTATTGGGCTGTCAAGCCTGAAATAGAGGATAAACTTTATCATGTTCTACTAGTCATTAATAAACCACAATGTTCCACAGGTGATGGGCAGGATACAAGGATTGAGGGATGAGAAGAAGCGAAGGCTGGAGGAATCTCGGGAAGAAGCCCAGCGTCTGGCCAACAAAGTCCCCATCGACATCCTGACCAAGGACTGGCTAAACGATGATAAGGTGATCAATATTTTAATTATCATTTTATTAACTAAATTATGAATATCTATACTGTGATATGCTTTTTAGAATTAATGACTTTTGTATGTTCTATATTATGTCAATTATGTCAACAAGGGACCGGCCAAAATCAAATTGTAATTTTTTGACAACAGAATTTACATAATCTATATATACAACCTGGTAGTGACTTATTACCAGTTTTAATTTGCCATTCAGTGCAATTCAGGTAATCAATTAGCCTCTACCAGGCTTCAGGAGGTGTCTGGAAAGATTAGAATCGGCCAAATAGAGAGATAACATGTCGGAGACCGCAAACCATACCCCTTCATCAGACCAACTCCCCTGGCAATGCAATTGTTATAGTCTATCTGGCCAATTTCTGCTCTTTCCAGATGCCTCCTGAAGCCTGATAGAGGCTAGCAACCAGTAGTCACTGTAATTCCTGACTTTTTCACTGTACTGTAAGTGTAAAAGTGTAAGTTATGTTCACTGTTTTCACTGTCTCTTCTGTACCGTGAACTTATCATTACAGTTGACAAATAATTCCTGCACTTTCTTTTTCCTGCACCAGTCACCACTGTGAATATAAAGTTCCGTGAACATGTCCATTTTTCTCAGACCGTGAACTTTTGGTACCGTGAACATAAAGTGACTGTGAGGCTGTTATTTGAACCAGAGATACTGAATAAAAGCTATTAATTAAATTCCTTCCAGGTGACGATTGATGTCCGCTGCTACATGGTGGACAAACTCCTGCCCACGTTGATCCTGGGCGTGGAGAAGCTGCTACTGGAGGTGGAGCGGCGAGGTCTGGAGAACACCTCGGATGTTACCCGGGATTTCAACCCCATTAACTACCTGGCACAGGTACTTTGTAGTTAAATATTCATTGATTCCTTTATTCTTTATTTTAGGTTAAAAAAAATAATAAAACACAGTACATCATTAAAATAATACAAAACTCTACAGACATACAAACAATACAGGAAAAAACCTGGATGCATGGTAAAAGTGTTTCGGAAGAAAGAGTTCCTGTAGAAGGCATCAGATCTTAATAAGCAAATGATGATTGCGTTATGGGAGTAAAATTAATCGCTTTAAGAAAGAGTAACAAATCCTCCTCCGCCTAGTTTAAAATGTGTCAGTATAGTGGTAAATAAAGTTCTTGCTAGCACTACAACGTTGAGGTAAATTCATATTCATTCTAAATTCTCTAGGTGAGAGAACTTTTCGTGTTGGATCTGAAGTTTTAACTCTAAACATCTTTATTTTTTCGTACCAGTACCTGATGAGGAACAACCCTCGGTACAGTAACTTTGCGGAGGCCTCGCCGTACTTCAGGGGAATGCAGGAGGTCTCGGAACAGCTCAAGAGGGAAGTTCTGTCTTACCAGGACACCAGGTGGGTTAGCTATACCTAAAGCTGTGCCTTGGTGCCAGTATTCATGGCTGTACCCAGGTCCTATACCTGTACCTGTAGCTGTAGCAGGTCCTATATAATTGTATCTATAGCTGCTATACCTAAGCTGTACCAGTAGCTGTACCTTTAGCTGTACTTATAGCTGTTTGAACTTATAGCTATTACCTATATATATATAGCTGTACCTAGGTCCCCTCTTTCTTCCCCCCTTTGTTCCTTGTATGATGATTTTAGCTAGTCCCGATGGCCGTGACATTTGTGGCCATACCACTTCAGTTTGTTTCTTTACTGTGGTTAAAGGGTTTTCTTATGGAACTTTGCTTTGTTTTGCTCTGGTACGTACTCCATCTTTAGTGTTATTTCATTCTTATCCAAGAACCAACATATATTTGCTGTTTGTGGCCTTACTGTGACATGGTTTGTGTCATGTTTTGCCAGGCTTGTCCTATGTAATTATGTATGCTGGGCTCCATTGGAAAGCAGTTCGTACTAGCTGAATGGGCTTCCCAGCCATTTTATGATCAAATAAATAAATAAATTATCCAAGGCAACAACCAATATGTATTTTCTGTTTCTGGCCTTACTGTGACATGATTTGCGACATGTTTCCCCAGACTTGCTCGTGTGAAGGCAGAGGCACGGCGTAAGCGCGAGGAGAGAGAAATGTCGGAGCGGCTGAGACAGCTGGAGTCGTCGCGCCGGGTCGAGAGCCTGAAGGCGCAGTTCCACCACTGGATACGGGACGAGGACGGCAACGTGCAGCTCTCATTGGTCAGTAATAACTTCGCTCTCATTGGTCAGTCCTAACTTCACTCTCATTGGTCAGGATTCTGTGGTTTGAAGTCTCATTGGTTAGAACTTGGTCATTTTTGCTCTCATTGGTCAACTGTTGTTCATGCTCTCATTGGTTAGTCCTAACTTTACTCTCATTGGTCAGTCCTAACTTCACTCCCATTGGTCAGCCGTAACTTCACTCTCATTAGTCAGGACTCTGTTGTCTTCACTCTCATTGGTCAGGATTCTGTTGTTTTCATGCTGATTGTTCAGTCCTAACTTCACTCTGAGACTCATTTGTTGATGACCTTCAGAATTTTTGACCATGATAATTGTGTCTCCTTCTTTAGGTTCAAAGTGCTCTGAGGTCCTTTAAGGAGATTGTAGCTCACCTTCCCGAGGACATCCAGTCAGGTGGGTGATGCACAGCTGCCACTGTTCTAATACTTCCTAAAGCAAACTAGATAAAGGCATGGTCTGAGCATATATATGTAGAATCCTGTTTTAGATTATACCATCTGTACTCAGTCCGTTATGTTTAATGTTGTGATGTAAAAAAGTCCTTCTTAGATTCTATATAGTATATTGGGATGGCTGTTGACTAGCCAGGATGGTCCCTAGGCTAGAGTATGCTACTTATGATGTAAAATCTACAGTAACTGATAAAGTGTACAAAAGACTGTAACGTTTACAGTATGATCTTACTGAATGTTTTGTGACCCTGTTGTCTCCTGTTCCGTTCACAGTTTCTGCCTTCAGTAAGGAACTGGAGCCCACAGATGAGACAGGGAAGGGGCTGAACCAGGAAGCCTTCATCAATGTAAGTTTCAGAGATTGATAATAGTTTTGTGGTCTCTTGTGGTCTTGTGTTCTCACTTACTCCCCCTGGCAGTTTACACGTGAATTACACCTGTCCTTATGTTACAGTACCTACAGGACCATGTACAGACGTTACCTGCAGAAGTGTTTGACCAGTTCTCGCGCCATCTGGCCAAGTGTGCACTGGCCCACCGCGAGGCTGCAGAGAGAGAGGCGAGGCGCATCATCCTGTCCAATCTCTTCATCACCTGCGATCACACCTCGGTAAGAACGTACCCTCTTCTCTTACTGAAAACAGTGAGTATTCATCTACAGTCAAACCTGTACAAGTGACCACCTCTACATGAGAACCACATTTTGCCGTAACACAGTAATATTTTTTTCCCATCGACGTATCATCCTCTCCAAGCTCTCTTCTCTGTCTAGTGTTGTTCTTCTTTTTCTGTAGACTGTCAATTCATCTACAGTCAAACCTGTACTAGTGACCACCTCTGAATAAGGAAAACCTGACCATTGATATACAATCTAACCTGTACTAGTGACCACCTGGCCGTTGCGACCATGTTTGGGTGTCCCTAGGATGACTTTTCCCATTGACAGAAGCATGAAGAATCCTACATGTACAAATGTATAGAGACCACCTGTCCACATAGGCCTGAGATCAGTCCCATGAGTGGTCTTTGACTGTATGTAAAACGTAAAGAACAGAAAGGGCAGAGAAAACTGGTTGTCAGATCACATATCTGTGGTGCTCAAATGGTACAATAGTTAGACTAAGCACTGTACGTATGTAGTGAATAGATTATTGATACAGCAATCTGAATAGAACTAAATACCTGAAATTTTCCCACAGATTGGTCTGCTGGATCGCCACAGGATCCTGGCTCTGTTTGAGAAGTTCTGGGACGGTGCTAACACTGAGATCAAACCCACCCTGAGGAACCCCAGGAAATGTGAGTAATAACCTATTAGTAACTTATCAATAACTTATCAATAACCTATCAATAACTTATCAATAACCTATCAATGACTTATCAATAACACTGAAATCAATCCACCCTCAGGAACCCAAGGAAATATAAGTAGGGTCAGAAATAACTTATCAATAACTTATCAATAACTTATCAACCTATAAATAACTTATCAATAACATATCAATAACTTACCAATAACATATCAATAACTTACCAATAGCCTTTCAATATGTCAATGACCCATCAATAACCTATCAACTTATCAATAGCCTACAAAGAAGTTAGCATAACTCATGAACATGTCACCATAATCCATGAACAGGATCGCATTGTTTATTGTTTGTTTGTTTGTGTTTACTGTTGCCAGGGCCGATAATTGAGCTGGATGAGATGGACGATGCCCTGAGCCTGAGCGAGGATGAACTTGACCTCCAGGTGTCGGAGATGACGGGAGCGACCTCTGTTTCCCAGGGTACATCTGTCGCGCCACAGGTACGCTCAGAGCCGACGCTTCTAAGCTGTACAAACCATAGCTACAATGGACCTATCACATTATTATGTCACAGTTTGTTTACCGCAATGAATGCCGGTCAATCAATGTTTATATTGTACAGGGGTGCGTAGCACGGTGTGTGTTTGCCTCAATATAAGGCCTTTATACAGTACTTACTTTCGTCTAATGTCACAACTAAATCACCCATTTTGGCATGTAATGCTGTGTCAACGAAACCAGACGCAGCAAAAATCGAACATACCTGACTTGATAACAAACATTGATCAGAAATGATCTTTATTCTTTAACTGACCATTCTAGAATGTTCTTTAGAACAGGTAAACAAACTGTGACGTAATAATGGTATAGCTACAATTAAGTGTCCAAAAGTTAAAGATTATTTTCTCCTTTGAGACAGTTGCTTGTCAGTCATTGTCATCTTTCTCTTCGTCCCTTGAAGCCTAAGAAAAGAAAGAAAGAGAAGGAGAGGCAGAGATAGACAGAGAGTGAGAGAGAGAGAAATAAAGAAGGAAAGAAAGAAAGAAAGAAAGAATGAAAGAGAGAGAAAGAAAGAAAGAAAGAAAGAAAAAAAAGAAAGAAAAAGAAAGAAAGAAAGAAAGAAAGAAACTAGATTAGGAGAAGACTGAGGCCTTTATTTCTTTGTGTACTTGTCCATGTATTCTTGTCCACAAGTGTACTCCATGGAAACCTGTTGGTTTCTTCTTCCAGTTCACTGTTTCTTACTGTCACCTGTACCTGTCTTTACAGACTATTTTCAGGTTCACCGTCCCTTAGTAAGGTGTTCAGGTAAACTATCCATTGATTCAAGTCACTGGAATGAGAACATTTAATGCTGCATTTTTAATGATGGTGTTTAAACCGTTTAGCTTCTGACCAGTGCATGGAAAGTTGCCTGCCGGTGGTCAGCATGTGATGGAATAAACAGAAAGTCAGCTTGATGGAAAACTGTCTGCCAATGCATGTACATTGTATTGTTCTGTCCACCAGTGCAAAAGAACAATTGCTTTATACTATCTGTCACAAACACAATTATCATGATAACGACCTTTGCTGTATTTTTTTTGGCCTATGGTGAGAAGCAGTCTACACTTCCCCACATGAACTGTGACAAATTAACAGGCAAATGCCTAACAAAACAGCGCCTCGTAGGTTTACATATGGCTATGGAGTAAAGAGCATCCATACAACACTATAAGCTATTTGCATGTTGAAGAAGGTTTCTGACTGTATTTCTTTCTTTTCAAAACTCCTAGGTAACCTGTTTGTGTGGTTTGATGTTAACATGCTCATCTTGTATCAGGTTTCTGATGAAGGGGAGAAGAAGGACCTGGAGAAGGAAACTCCTGCCATCACTGAAGTGAAGGAAGGAGAAGAAATGGCCGAGAAACAGGAGAAAGAACCTGAGGCGGAGGCACAGGAAGGAGGGAAGGAAGGAGAGAAGGAAGGAGAACAGAAAGAAGAAGAAAAGGAAGGAGAGAAAGAAGAAGAGAAGAAAGAGGCAGAAGAGGAACCGAAGGGAGAGGAGACAGCAGAAATGAAGGATGAGGATGGTCAGAAGGAGGGAGAGGTGCAAGAAAAAGAAGCTGAAGAAAAACCTGACGGTGATGCCAAGGAGGAAGAAAAGACGGAAGAGAGTAAGACTGAAGAAGAGAAGGATGCTGCTCCTGCTGAGGAGGTGAAGGAGGAGGCTGCTGAGGCTGCAGATGAGCAGAAACCTGAGGAGAAACCAGAGGAACAGGCAGAGCAAGTTACCATGGCAACAGATGAGAAAAAGGAAGAGGAGACAACTGAAGAGAAAGAAACAGAGAAGACAGAGGAGTCTGCACCTGAGGAGCAGCAGAAGGTATTTAAGAAGATACATGTAGATATTAAGGTTTTTAGTAGTACTTGTTACCCGTTTTTATTCATTAGTAATGGAAACTTTAAATATTAAGCTGCGATAGAATTGTTAAATATTTAGGAAAAGGACTTATGTTATGAATGTAAATGCTACCATAACAGTCTTTTAGAAAGCACTAAGTATTGTTGTAATGAAATCCACAATGCAGCTCAATGCCTAACCCTCGGAAGACGGGGAACAACAGATGATAAACTGGATAGTGAGTGAGTGAGTGAGTGAGCACAATAGCTGCGAGTGATTTTAACCTGAATAAACCATTTCTTCATAGAAGGAGACTTCAGAAGGTGCTGAGACGTCTGAGCCTGAGAAGGAGGTGGCAGAAGACGTTAAGGAGGAGACAGAAGCACCTAAGGAGTCCACAGAACCTGCAGCAGAAGCAACAGAAGGAAAGAAAGAAGAGGAGGAGAAAGTTACGATAACGACAGAGTCTGAGAAACCAGAGGTGAAAGAACCGGAGCCAGCTGTGAGGGACGAAGGTAAGGAACTTCTGAAATTGGCTCTTGTTCTCAAATCATTGCCATTGTTTTTAAGTCTTTGTCACTTATTAGAGCCATTTTGATCTGTCGTTCACTCGTAGATTTTTACAAGTTTTCTGCTTGTGTTCCTGATTTTACTTCTTGAATAATTTCTACTGCATTTGTTGCCTTGCAGTGACTTCTTTTGTATCAGTTTAAGAAATATGTCTAACCTACAGTTTGCTTGCTTTGCAGCTTCTGAGTCTCCTACAAAGAGGACAGGCAGAGTCAGTGTGACGTTCTCATCAGAACCACCACAGATGCTGGGGAACGGTAAGTTGTCTCCTCTTGTTTTTTCTTTTAAATGATAAAAAGCCTGTCAAGAAATGCCCCCCCCCCCTTAAAAAAAGTGTAGCATGTGCACTGACAAAGGGAAGATGATAATTAAATCTCTTGATGTCTGAATGATCTTAGATAATAGGTACATCTACATCATCCCATTCTAGTACATCTGGACCACATATTAAGCAGAGATGGGGAACCACTGTTGTATGCTTTGATTAAGAAGAGCATACTGAATCTGTTTGTACTAATATCATCCCATTTCTATCCTGTTCCAGACCTGCTGCCACCCATCACCCCAGACCTGAATCGCAGCAGTTCGCAGATGACCCAGATGACAGGCACCAGCGTTTTTGACGAGAACTCGCTGAACCTGAGCCAGTTTGTCCAGCTGGTGGAAACCTTCCTCGGTGACCACCCATTCCAGGAGGCTGTGGACAGGCTGGTCGGGTACATCCAGGACGGGTATGTGGAGACCGAGGAGGAGAAAATGTCGCGACTCGCTAAGGTCAGGGTTTGGCTAACTAACAGTATATTACTTACAGCAGTTAGTAATACTGTCTGTCTGTGTCTGACAGTTTATTTCATTACCTAGATTTTCAGACCTAACTAACAGAAAATTACTTGGCTGTTTTCAAAACCTATCCAGTTGCATGAATAACTGTTTTCTTGTGTATCTCATGCCCTGGGTATCTAATGTTCATCAACATCACTTATAACCAATTAACATCTCTGTACATTTGTAAGTTAACTAAAGCAATAGATAAATAAACATACATCTGCCAGGTTACATAATTATGAGATACATAATTGAGAGATCTCTAGTGCAGCACCCCCAGATATGCACAGTTTAGATTATGTAGAAGTTCATTTTACTGAGGGATGTTGCATTGGAGATTTCTTCAGATGTGTGCCTCTTTGATCAAATAATAGTTGTATAATATATACTGTCTCTAAAATGAGTTCCTCTTTCTTTCTTTATTTCATTGATCTGTACTTTAAAAGCTGTATACTCTACTAAACTACTATAATGTGTACCTCTATGATCCATACTCACTTGTTTTATAATAATCAGTCCAAACATGCTGCCTATAGCCCGCCTGCTATACTGTTGACTGACATGTATGGTAATGAGGATGATTTGGAAGTGAGTACCAAACTGGCTGCTACACCCCAACTCACTGCTGCACTGGCATATGTAATTAAGGGTAATGCACTGCACCTTGGAACAGCCTGGGCGGTTTTGTCCTATGGAATCACAAAGTTGCTTCAGAATAAGAGCCTAAGATATAAGGATTATTGGTTATTGAATTGAAAAAAAATGATGCAGAACTGAAAGATCAAAAACAGAGTCTGATGGAAAATTAGAATCTTGGCAGACACAGAACAAAGTCAGATTTAAGTTTTCCTGCCAGCCATGTTTTGGTCTTGATTTGAGCACTGAAACATCCATAAACCAAGGAAATAGTTTAATGTGGCCTAAGTCAAACTTAATCAAGATGAGATACACTTCATTATGAAAAAAAGGTTGTTTTTAGTCATGCTGAAGAAAGTAGAGCTTTCGACCAGTCACTCTGGTCTTCCTCAGTAGACTGACCCAGTGAGGATTGTCACGTGGCTTCAATTAAAAAACCATATTCATGATTTATTATTACAACCTCTGCTCGGAGAGTATGAAAGCTCTAGGTGGAAGAAGTTCCTTGTGTTGGATCAAAGTTTGAACTTTCAACATTTTCCAAGGCTCGTCGTGATGCGATCTCAGCGCGACACAAGTACCTGCTGGATCAGCTGTTTGAGAAATGGGACAACGACGGGTCAGGATTTCTGGACCTGGAGGAGGTTCAGACCATCCTGCTCAAGTACAAGGAAGGGATGGAGGCTGCCATCATCAAGAAAGGTGGGGAAACGTCTTATTTCCACTTCTACTACCAATTACAAACTACCAACGTTTCAGCACTACAGACAGTTCTGTTAGGCAGATTCTTCACTTTTGTAGAGGGAAAAGAGAGAAACTTATAATTGTGCTTTAGAGCCCTTTTGAATGCCTCTAATGTGTAATGAAGGCAATTACCAATATTTCAGCACCAAGGACAGTGTGGTATTCATGACACCAGTACACTGAAAACCTTAGATTATCCTGTAAAACAGTGTAACTTTGCTCTTGCTTTCATAGTAATTTCCATATGCTATGCATGTTATGGGCACTGACAATAAGGTACCACAGAACTGGTAGCTAGTTGTTTGTTTGTTTGATATATGCATAATGTAGCATATTTATGGGCTAAACTGCATGAGCAATTATTTGCTTTGCCATTATTCCAGCATGTTCAGATCTTTTTGTAGAAGTTGAGTTTGTGAGTCATTCTGTGTAGACAGCTCTACATATATTAGGCAGTCGTAGAGGTAAAGGGCCCAAAAAGGTTCCAGAAAATATAAGAACAAATGATATTTCCTGACTGAAGATGTCTCCTCCAACAGCGCGGACCAGTCTAAAGAAGAAGTACCGTCTGCATGACAACCGGATGAACCGGCGCGAGTTCCGCACGTTTATCGAGGACGTGGTTCACCAGCTGCCGGGAGACGACAACGAGTGCTTCGAGGCCGTGATGGAGTATCTCAGGGCCAGTGTAGAGGTGAGACAAATCCTTAGACCTTAGTTCCCAAAAGGTCTCCGGTTTAAGGTTGTTTTAGGCACTCCTGTGTTGTCCAATCTTAATACTTGGCCACACGATTTCAGTCTTCTGTTGGTGATTTTTGTGGATGGTCTTCTAAAACCAGATTTCTTAAAGAGTTTATCATTTGAAATCTTATGGGTAGATATGTTATTAATAGTTCAAATGGACAATATTAAATCTGGAACCTGAGACCTTACCGTAGATCATAGTTCCTCCTGTGCCCAGGGGCACATCGGGCAGCAAGCTTCCACTTCTTTTTGTCAGCAGCTACTGACTCTATCTGCTGGAGAAGGATGGGCTCCGCTTTCCAATGTCATGTCCTAGACACAGTGGATTAACAACCCACTGTCCCTACAGCCTGAAAAAAGTTATGGGACACACCTTTACCTTTATAACGCTGTACCTACCCCCCCCCCAGCGTTCGTACACAGAGCGTATCCGTGGCGACGCCAGGAAGAAGTGGCTGCAGCTGATTAAGATCGCCGCGGAAACGGGTGGGGCCAGCATGGACCCGGTCTACAGGGCCGTCTTCAACGCACTGTACAAGGTCAGATCACGAGCTTGAACTTGAACATGTTGTTAGACTTTTAATTTTTTTTAAAATCAAATTTCAGGATAACAGAGAACCTGGTTGCTTAGAAATTTTTTGCTGAGTTCCAAAAATAATTTCATTACGGTCGGTAGAACATACTTGGGATTTTCTTCATATATACACTACCAGGGACTCTCCCTACATCGAAACGTAAGCAAGGTAGGAAGAATGCCTGGTTGTGTATAAGGAAACCTAAATTTCCTGTCAGTGAGTACAAGGCTATGAGACCACTTCTAGGTACTGAACTATGTTTGGTTTACAAAGAACCGCATCTCTTCTACCTGTGTAGAATTAGTCTGTGTAACTATTCATTTTTTTTTTACAGAATGTTTTTGTTCCTGGGATTAGGTTAATGGTTTTTGTTTACAGGTTCTTTGTTTCTTGTTGCTTACATGTTTTATTCATTCATGGCATTAGGTTGTTTATTCATTTGTTGTTGTTTACTTGTTTACAGGACCAGGAGGCGCATGGCGGGAACAAGAAGATCAGCGCGTACATCGCCATGTTGGAGCGTAACGACCTGCAGCCCTCGCGGGGTGAGACCCTGCTGCGTTACGTGGCCGTGACACCCGAGGACGCACCCCTCATGCTCGGCAAGGCCATGTACAAGGACATGAAGGGCATCAGGTAACCCGATATCTTAGTATTAGTAGTAGTAATAGTAGGAGTTGTAGTAGTTACTGTAGTAGTAGTAGCAGTTAGCAGTAGTACTAGTAGTAGTTACTGTAGTTACTGTAGTAGTACGAGTAATACTAGCAGTAGTTCTCTAGTAGTAGTAGTTAGTAGTAGTAGAAGTAGTGTAGTTACTGTTACTGTAGTAGTAGTAGTAGTAGTAGTAGCAGCAGTAGAGAGACTTTGCTCCATTACGTGGCCGTGACTCCGGAGGATGCACCGCTCATGCTCGGGAAGGCCATGTACAAGGACATGAAGGGCATAAGGTAGGGACAGTCCAGCCATTAATTATAGCTGTTTTAAGGCAGTAGAAACTGAAATAGATACAGCAGTTGCAGGATTTGCTGAATTCCCCCCGTATAAACCAAACACAAGTGATCTGAGTTCTAGTCGAATGCTCTAAGTGAGAGAACCTCTTTGTGTTGATTCAAAAGTTTTAACTCTAATAAAACACAAATGGTCTGTATTTATTGTTGATTCATGTGTCTCATAAAATACTTTCACCAGTTGTTTAAAAGTTTTATGAGAAGTCTCATCTTCTAGGATGTTCCAAGCAAAAGTGCATTCCATTATGGCTATACTTCTATGGCCAAACCAAAGTGAATATTTACATGCATAAATGACTGTCTTGGATTGTTATGATTATTCAGATGATGATTGGATTGTTATAACCATGCCTGATGGTTTCCCCTTCAAGTTTTGCATCAGTGGAGAGTGGAAAGCCGATCCACGTGCCACGCGTCATGATGCACGGAAACATCCACCTCTGGAACGCAGACCGCAAGGACCAGGTGGGTACAGTATATCTTCAGCACCTGCATGGTAACCTGTAGAACTGGCATGCCATCTGCATCTTCGAAAAACTTTTTGTGTCTTGCCATCATCTTATGTTTCCACACTAGTCTCTCAAACTTTCCTCCAACGCTTAAGATCCGTCTCAGATTTCGACTGGATATCACAAGTGTGTTGTCATTTTTCTCAATCAGACATTGCAAAGACAGTCTTTTGTTGTATCAATGAGGATTTCTGCTATCTTCTCCATATTGCATACGCCTGCAGACTTTTTAAATCAGTGTAACTGCCAGAAAGTCTGTGTAATGTATACTCTGTATCTGTATAGCCGGTATAATCGCCTTTCGGTGTAACACACCAGCTTGTAGCATTGCCAATGAAATGGAATTTTCTGTATTGTCTCATAATGTTGACTTTTGAAAACCGCATGGCTGCCTGAGAGTCTGTGTAATATATCGTAACATGGCAAATGAAATGGGATAGAATCAAATGAAGAGAACATCTTTCACACCCTGCAGGAGGTTGATGGATCGTTCATGGTGGTCCCTCTGAAGGACCACAGGAAGCGGGTGTTCGGGATGTTGGGGATTGACACCATGGCCGACCCTCACGACAGGAGCATCTTTGTCACTCACGAGATCAGCTTCTTCCAGGTGAGACTTCTTACAAATCACACCTGCTACTTACCACAGGAGCTACCATTTTCCTTTAAGTTTTACATATCAATGACTATAAGTCTTTTTCATGTTCAACTGGTTTTTCAGTTGCTCATGTATTGACTAGTTCTGTTAGTGCATGAGTGACGCTGAAGAAGAGTGACGGATGTCATTCAAAACATTTGGAATTTCTCTCCATACGTTTTCCCAGTAGTAGAGTTTGAATTTCTTGTATTTCCTGTATTTAATTTAGTATTATTGTTTACCTGGATATGTTTAACCTTCATCAAAACACCAGACTTGCTGCCACAAACCTCATCTGCTCATCATCGTTATCTATAATCTGCAATCTAGCCTGAAATCTACATTTGCAGAAGAAATGCATTGTAAGCCAGAGTGCAGATGAAAAACATAAACAATGTCTTCAGGCTAAAGATGTCAAGCTTAGTATTATGTATCACAACTGCTGTTGCTATTTCAGTCCCAGGGTATTTATTGCATTGATTATTGCCATCTCTGTCCCAGGGTGTTTAATGACCATGTTCCTCTCTGTCCCAGGGCATTGCGAAGGCGTTCAGCGTGGCGTTCCACTACATTGACATCCGTCGGAAGATCCTGCGAATCGCGGAGAGCGCGGTCCACTGGATCCACCGCCGCAGCGTCAACGTCAAGCAGATCGATGTGTACATGGTGGAACCGGGAGCAAAGGTACGGGAAGTTTTTGCTTCTTCTTAATCAAGCAAATTTAAAGCACTAGATTAACTGTTTGACTACCAATTTTCTATTGGTATTTTTACCTGCTGCCTATAAGTTTAGCAGTGTCAATATGAAGCAGATCAATGTCTACATGGTGGAACCGGGAGCAAAGGTACGGGAAGTTTCTGTGTTCCCGTAAACCAAGACTGATGCTATTTCAAATTTTAAAATTTAGAAGAAGTTACACCAGTTTAGAGGTTAACAGAAAAAAAATGCAAGGTACGGGACATTTCTTATCAATGAAACACCCAAGGCTGATGCTATTAATAATTTCAAATTTTCCAAAACAAGACAATTTTAGAAGTAAATTAGAATCTTCTAAATCAAACATCCAAGACTGTCAGATGCTATTTTCCCAAATTCAAACAAAAAGCAACATTTCAGAGTTCAAGAGAAATGAAATATACATAGAGAGAAGTTACAAAATTTCTTTTCATGACAGATGGATGTTTAGCCTTTAGAACACTAGATGACCTGTTTGGGTACTAATTCTCTATTGGTCAAAAGTTTAGGCAGCAGGTAGAAAGTTAAACTATCATGACATTATTGCTGCAAGGAGAAGATATACATGTAGTAGGTGGCAAAATAGAGTGACCATAGAAATGTATTGTAACCAATCAGAGAGAAGACACATATTAGTTAGTCATGGAGATCAACAGTTACTGTAACCCAATCACGGAACAGAAGACATCTCAGTAAGGCAGAGTAACTTGTAGCATAGTCCACGCGTATCCAGAACCATGCCTGGGGTAAAGGTACCTTCTTGGACCCGCAGAGACTATCCAGAACTTTGCCTGATCCTAGCCCTAACCCCTCATTGAGGCATGGAACTAGATAGGCACGGTTCTGGATAGGATACTGACTTAATAATAATTGTGAATAGATGGCACCCTGTCCTTGGTGCTGATCTTGTGGTTTTATGAAATCCACCCGCGGATGGCTCGACTCTTATCCAGAACCCTGCCTATCTAGTTCTATTCTTGAATGGGTTAGCGTTAGGATCAATATATTATGCAGAGTAACTTGTAGCTGCTTCTCACCAGGACATTGCAGCAAGGCTCAAGTCAAAGAAGGGCTCTTCCAAGAAAAGGACTCCCTCCCCAAGGAAAATAGAAGACAAAATTTCCTTTGACCATACAGTTCAGCTGAAAACTAAAGTGTTGACCATTCAGGTACATGTAGGGTCAGGAATAGAGCAGGTCGGCGTTAGAGTTCAGTTTCTAGTTGAGTTTACTCAGTTCTGAGTTTTAACTGTTACCAGTTCAGAGTTTCTACTAAAACCAAATCCAAACCTAGTACATTGATGAGGTACGATATATATAGAAGTCAGTTTTTACAGAGTTCAGTTTCTAGATGAGTGCTGAGTTAAGATCTTGCCAGTTTAGGGTTTCTACTAAAACCAAATGTTCAAACATATGCCTAGGGTAGGGAGGAAATTATAGAATCCAAGTGTTACAGAGTTCAGTTCCTATATAGATGAGTTACACAGTTCTGAGTTAAGATGTTGCCAGTTTAGGATTCCTACTAATTCCAAAGATTCAAAATAAATTGTTGGTTCCTTAAAACTTTGTTTTTCCAACAGTGGTACTTACTTGTCAATGAGGAGTAAAGGTAATTTGCCGTGTGCAGGCCAAACTTCTGAATGCATGGCCTCTGACTTACGATACCGACAAAATGCCTAGTACTACATGTATGGTACTTACCCAAATGTTTCACTGTTTGACACCTGAGTTTGTGTCAATGTTTTGACAGACTGATACCTCTTTGTCAAGGAATAATAGATTACAATTTTGTGTTAGAAGTAACAGTTCAAACCTGACTTTTATTTTTCTCTATTGAAACAGGATAACGACTTTGTGCTGAGAAAGATGATGACGACAGACAAGAGCGGAAATTCCAAACTGTACGAGGATCCACAGAGACTGGAGAGGAAGGACAACCTCTTCAGGTGAGGAGGCGGTTGCCACGGAAACCTATCCCATCCTTGGATATAGGGGATTTCATGTACACAACCAGTATTGTCTCTTACCTTGCTGACGTTTCAGTGTCTATCAGACATCTTCCTCACATTGCCGCAAAAGCGCCACCTACATTGGCTACATATAGCGTGATAGCTTGGAAGCTTGGTTCAACACTCTGCTATGTAGGGGTATAAAAACACCTGCCAGGTGAAACACCTGCATGCCTAGTGTTGGGTTTAATGCTTTTGGATGGGTCTTGTGCTTCAGGAGAGCCAAATCTTGAGCATAATAAAACATTAGAAATCAAACAAAAAGTGGCCCTTCCCAGTGTGTGTAAGTGGTTCCAACTTTATTGTTTCACCTGTTATGTCAAACCTGCCACCTGACTATTGTGGTAAATCTGAATAAATAATTCCTGATGTGTTAATCCCCCACATGCATGCGTCAGATGGGAACAGCGAGGACCCATGTTTTTACACATGGAGTATAACAAGTACAAGGATGTGAGATATGTGGTGGGGGAGGTTCTCACTGCTGGGCACTACAGGTATACAGGGGTGGTACCGTGAAGTAGTGGTGGTACATGTACTGTGTTGTAGGATTGGTGGTACTGTGTTGTAGGATTGGTGGTACTGTGTTTTTACACATGGAGTATAACAAGTACAAGGATGTGAGATAATTGTGGTGGGAGAAGTTCCTACCACAGAGCACTACAGGTAGACAATGTGTATTGTGTAGTAATATTGGTGGTCCTGTGTCATGAGATTTGTGGTCCTGTGTTATAGGATTGGTGGTACTGACATGTGCTGTAGGATTGATGGTATCATGTTATAAAATCTGTAGTACTGTACAATACCACAAATTTTATAACATGGTACCAGCAATCCTACAATGTTGTAAGATTGGTGGCACTTCGTTGCATACTAGAGGCAGCACAGGTTTGTATGGGTGGTACTGTGTTGTGAAAGTCAGTGGTACCATGTTGTAAGATCAGTACTCTATGATCTGCACTTTAGCCTGTTTTCCTTGACCCATCAGTGGCTGGTGCCATAACCTGTTTTGTGTCTCTACTTAAGTTTACATTTGTGTCAGACTCTATAGTATGATTTTCAGTTTTTAAGTCACATCCTACATGTACATGTGCTTGAAATATCGGTGAAACAGAAGTCCAAGACATGGTGTATCAAAGAAAATCAAAAGAATCCCTGTCTCCCTCGTTTTCCAGAGACTACCTGTTTAAGAGCGTGACGAACTCGGAGACGGTGACGGCCGACGCGTACGGCGAGCGACACACGGCATTCCCACTCCGGGACAACGACGGGCGCGCCGTGGCGGTGGTGGACATCAGCATCGGGGAACTGAAGGAACTCCCGCACGCGGAGCAGCGAGAGGTCACCCGGATGCTGAAGATCCTCCAGTCTGCCCACAAGGAGGTGGAGAAGGAGTCGGCAGGCGCAGAGAAGAAGAGAGTCTTGGGTAGGTGTTTTTTTACCAGGTATTTTGGGGACCAATTTGCTGAATGCAAGGCCAAGAGACCACTGCTAGGCACTAAACTGTTTAGGTTACTAGAGCAGCATCTTTTTTACTTAAGTCAGAAATATCAATGCTTGAGACTTCCTGAAGAAGCGAGTCTTGGGTTGGTGCTGATGACTTTCTTTTTTTGACAAATTTGCTCTGAGTGCCAGGCCAAGAAACAACTTCTAGGCACTTAACAAAGTTTGAATGCTTGTACCATAAAATCACCCATAAACATTCAGCTAACATAAACTACTAGACCTCAGTCTAGCTCTGACTACGGTCAGCGTGATGATTCTCTTTTCCCTAGGTCAGCAAAATCTCTTGGGTTGCCAACTTAAACTGACACTTTTCTGAAACGTACATTTCACATCTGCATGTCCTTTCTGTATTACAGAGATTGAGAAGGATGATGACACCCGTATCGACATCATGTTTGATCGGCTGATGTTGGTCGACCTTCGACAGAGCGTCTCAAAGCTCGACGTTCAGGCCTTCGCTGAGCTCAAGTCTTATAAGGACCCTCCTCCGATCATCCACCGCATCTTAAAGGCAGTCCTCAGCATCTTCTGGCCGGACAAGGCCGTGCTGAACGAGTTTGAGCTGTGGAACTCAGCAAAACAGGTTAGGATCTATGGACACACAAACAAACATGCACACAAACATGTGCACATAGACACACACAGATATATATATACACACAAAACAGGTCAGGATGCATGGACACGCAAACAAACATGTGCACACACACAGGCATACACTAAAAAACACAGTCACACATACACACAGATATGCACTCACATTCTCACAAGTAGTCACACACACACACACAAACACACACACACACATATGATTGTACACGCATACAGAAGCATACACCAAAACTTTGCATCTTTCTTCTATCAAATTCCTGGGCCCCTGGCGACTTCCTTACAAACTGCACCTATCTAACATTCCTCCTGTCTCCCCCTGCAGCGAGTGACATACATTCACACAGCACACCAGTTCTACTAGACAAAGGCTGTCCATTTGTAACTGTAGAATGATGATATTCATCTTTGCCTTGTCAAATTCTTTCCCCCTGGCAGCTTCCTTCCAAACTGCACCTATCTAACCCACCTCCTGTCTCCCCCACAGCGTGTGACCAGTGAGCTGATGAAGATGATCGTCAGTTTCGACCCGACCTCCAAAGACGTGACCTTGAACCCGGAAGCCATCCTCACACATCTCAGCGGTAAGAAATCTCAGTCTTTTTTGTATTAAACTTTGAAGTTGTCATTGATAGGTTACAATTGTCTGCAGGCATGTGTCCTTACAGTGCTAGGGCCACACCTGGGGTATGTATAATTGAGGATACCTGAGTTAGTGCCAAATGGCAGCCACTCCAGACCTTTGCAGTTTGGCCCTTGGCAGCAAGGAGAGAGTAGTCCATCACATAACAAGAGCAACAACGACAATCTATATTTTACTCATTGACAAAGAAAATGTAACTTGGAGAAGATTCCATGATTACTGCATATTGGCTGAGTTTTCTTTTTCTTGTGTAAAGAAGTGCAGAATGATTCAAACTTGTCTATAGTACCTACCTACTCAAGGGACAGATAGCTACTGTTGACAAGCACCTACATTGGGCAATGATAAGGTGTGTAAGGGAGCACTGAAGAGTACATCACAGAGTTGAACCTTGAACGTGGACATCTGGGATGTCATTGTTGACAAAGTTGCTTTGTTTATATTTTCCCAGACATCCCACATGGGGCTGTGTCGAAGCATGGTTCAGTCCCGGCGCAGTACCTGTACAACTGGGCGTTCGTGGTCATCTCGCTCGTGGAACACACGTCAAAGTCTCAAGACGCCGGGCGGCCACAGGCATACTCTCCACCGGGCAGCTCTGCTAGCACGGATACCAACGCTACCATAGACGCTGCCGTGAAGGCGGAATAACAGAACTGAAGAAGTGTAGTTTTTGATGAACATAAAACAAAGGTTTAAACATAGGGCTGTCCCAATGTCTTTTCATATACTCAAACCAACACCTAAGATGTACTACAGTCAAACTAAACTATTGACCACCAACAGCTTAGCGTAAACTTGTAAATGGTCACTGACATTACATGCATTTGACACGACTTCAACTCATACTTCGAGGTATGGTGTAGATTTTTTTGTACATTGTTGTTTTCCAGAATCAAGAATATTAAGCAGTATATATTTTTATTAGACTTCTGCTAAAGGTATACCCACTTCTGAGATTTAAATTGGCCTAAAACATTAGTCAAATGTCATATAAAGTGATTGAAATACCTATGCAGTAACATTACATGTAAATGTAGGGAGTTTTGTAACCCAGATGTTTTATATGACCCACAGATGATTGAATGTATATATTTGAACCCAAAGTTTAATTTTGTTTACTGTTTCAATCAGCTAAGATAGATAATTATATTCTTGTGCCCTCATTTAACTCTGGAAGCAATTAGAACAATTGGCTTTGTTCAACATGCTGTCATCTAGAGTCTCCAATATAAGTGCTGTTGGGCTTTTCAACAAATTTTAAAACTTGACTTTTCTGTATGTCTTGTATTTACTGGTGTCAGACACTGAATTTTTATGCTTATGGTGTATCCAGAAAATGACGAAAATAAAGCAAAGAATTCAAAAACATTCAAACCTTTATTTTCTCCTTATCAAAAAACATCTTCATGTGAATGATGTATACAAACACGATCTGGCAAACATGATTACACATTTCTGATATTTTTGAACTGTGCAAAAACAAGCTACACGAGGCACGCAGATTACAAAACTTTTCAAACTGTTTTTTAACTGGAAAAAAAAGCTGCACAAGATACACTGATTACTGAAAACCATGCAAATACATGTAGACCTTCCTGGTCTTCACAACCTATCCACTGGTAGGTCCCCTAGTACACGTGAAGGAATGCGAGTTCATTGTTCACATTATTTACAACAACAAGAAGTCGTGGACCAGGTGTTATAGCAACAGCCTGTGGTCCCACCACATCTGTAGTGGTGCTCTTGATGCAGTTACCCGATCTGTCAAACACCTTCACATGCATATGGTCATCCTCCTGGTCTAGATCTGCCACAATTATGTTACTTAGGTAGTCTGTGCAGATGCCACAGGGATCCTGAAGTATCCCTGTGCCAAACTGGAAGAGGAACTCTCCGTCCTCGTTGAACACATACATGGTGTGGCTATTGTCATCTGTGACAAGGATTCTTCCCTCCCCGTCCACAGTGATGCACTGTGGGAAGTCCATGCCCTTCGTACGCACAATTTTCACACGTGTTCCATCAGGGCTGTACACATGCACTGCACCTGCAGTTAGCTGTGGTGTGTTATTCAACTTCCATCCCCTGTGTGTTACAAGGATGAGGTTCCTCGAGCTCTTGGTGTACACAGCAAGTCCTCTCAGGTATTCTGACTTTGGTAGTTCAAAATTCCTCAGCACGTCGCCATCTGTGTTGTACTGCACAGCAAACCCGGTGCTAGGTTCACGGACATTGTTTCCCACAACCCAGAGGTTTCCCTCTTCATCCTTTGCAATGTCTTCTGGGTAGATTTGTTGTCCGTCATCACCTGGAACAATGGTTGGGAAGTGGTAAAGAGATCTTCCATCGAACGACAGAACTTGAATGTTCTGCTGGTTGTAATCTGCTACAAAACATCTCCAAGTGTGCCAGGACACAGCAATGCCAAAGGGGTTACTGATCTCTCTAATTGGTCCCGTCCTCAGCGTCCTCTCCAGCATTGGTGTTCTGCCAAACAGGAATACCCCCAAAGCATCTTCAATATATATGTCAGGCAAGTCTGACACTCCCCCAGGCGGAAGCTGAACTTGTTGATCGCAGAGCAAGCATGGGAAGGCCGGGTTCCCCCCAGCAAGCCTCTGTAGACAGTCCTGACAGAAGGTGTGCCCACAGGGCAGCACTTTGTGCCTGGTGAACAGCTTCAGGCAGATACGGCAGGTTGACTCATGCTCAAATGCTTCCCAGATATTTTCAGCCGCCATTTTGCTCTCCCACACAATGGTGATGATGTGGCACGCATGTCCCGCCCTGATTGTGCAATTGTTTAATTCAGCCAGGAGGTTGGTTTGTCGCCTGACAAAATTGACACCTGCACAAACTTTAAATTGATAGTGACCATAAAACTTCTCTTCACCACCGTCCAATAAAAAAACTAGATAGTAATATTAGCGGTTGCTAATATAGACAGGTTTGCGTTGTAGTCGTTGTAGTGTAAGTTACAATATGTTTTTTGTGTGTGCTTTACCTTTTACAGGGTTCCTTCTCATCCTTTTCTAATCCCCACTTACCTTGTAAATAATTTCCTCGTCAATATACTTAACAAAAGAACAATAGTTAATGTTACACCCAAAACAAAATTTCACTTCTTTATGACTTCTGTATGCCCCATGACCTTCAACCTTTTGAGGGTCATACAGGCGTCAACAGCGCCCTCCCCACGCCTTGCCCGTCCGTTTTCGTGGGCAAATTTCTGCTTCCTTTATAGAGGTTTTGAAACCTAAAAAATCACACCAGGGGAGAAATAAACCACATACGTTATTTTCATGGTCCGATTTTGAGTCCACTAAAATCAAGGAGGGTTTGTGCAGTTACGTCTAGACGTGTCTGACAGGCATGACATTGGGCTTAACCTCAGGTCGCTACGTTAGCGGTGTGATTGATAATAGTTCACCTCTGTCTAATCTGAGGTCAATAAGGAACTTCGGCTTTTCACCGTGTGAACCGTGGGTATTGTACATACAATATATTTTATAGCGGGGTAGAACTTGGTGTGCTGCGACCACTGCGGCCAACCCTTGCTCCCAAGCTACTTCTAACCCATAGTGGGGAGGCGTTCGGCGGGAGTTCGAGCCCCAGTGTTGACAAATGAATTCGTAAAATTAAGGCTATTAAAAGTAAACTCCTAGCCTGACTAAATCTGCGCTCCTAGCGGCCGGCCCGGTATTACACCAGTCAATACCGGGCCGGCCGCTAGGGGCGCAGATTTAGTCAGGTTCTCACTATCTCCAATTACCTATAGAAATTGCTCCTGGACGTCGACGCCGCTCCCTGATAAGGATGAGTTTGCCCGGACAGAGCTACTGTTATAAATACATACATACATACATACATACATACATACATACATACATACATACATACATACCTTACTATTAATCATATATATTCCGATCATGTACAAAGAGGAATTGACATGGTACCTTTAAATTTCAGGTCGTCTTCATGAAATGCTTCTCAATAAGTTTTCACAAACATAATTTGCAAGGCGTTATACTGTACGGATTTCCCTTCAGATGTACAAAGTAAACTGGAATAGCCTGTAAAATGTGCTCTATCCGTCATAGTAGATCCAGGCCAGCTGTTTGTCTTTGAGCGCGATGATCGCAGTTCTCCTGTTCAAGGCCGTGTGAAAAGGCACGTTGTTGGGGATGATACAATAACGCTAGCAGGGGAGTATTGTTCCTGTAGAAAGGGTGGGATTTCCCGGCAATAAGACTATAGGTTTTATACTGGTTGTAGGCTCATGATCACGAGACCATTGTCTAGACTATGCAGATATCGTTTGGGCAGGCAGCATTAGACAAAACCAAAGGTCCTTGGATTCTGTCCAGTACCAAACCGCCTGGCTAATTGGGCCAAAAAATCTTCTTCCATAGAGCCACTTTGCTTCGGAACACGCTACCTCCCAATGCCGCACAGCTCCCACTATTACCTGCTTCAAAACAATAATATATATTGAAAACTCCAGACTTCATTTGGAGATCCATACATTGTGAATTCTGACCCTGCCCTCCCAATGTAATTACTACTCTTTTTAGTACACCTTAGCTTAAGTCGTTATGCATTTATGTATAGTAAATCCTATAGATGTAATGAGTTCATTATTTTTATTGTAATGTCCTGTACTCATCTTATGTAGCTTGTAATCCTTGTCACTCAGGGTTAGCCCTTTAAAATACATGTAGTTGGACAGCCCTGGCTGTTCTTTGTACAGCTAGAACTTAATGTGTAGACTCAGACGTGCCCCTCTGGGCAAAACCTGCAATTGAAGTTGACGGCTGCAAATTAGAGGTAGGAGATCGGGTCGCGCAGTTGGCTGACCTGAAGGCAAGGCTAGCTTCCGTTGAGTTGACACACCGAGCCTCGGGTCATCCCACAAGTGTATAGTATGTCGTGGAAAGTGTTCACCCACACAGAAGTCCTCACACAGAAGGAAAAGGTGTCATTTAAAGGATATGACCAGAGCTATGGGATATGACAAGTAGATTAGATCAGATTTATTGTTCGCGAGTTCAGGATAGGTTGAAAGTGAGCTATAGTTAACGCTTTGATCAGATACTTCAATTATGTTCCTTGGTTGGGTGGAGGACAGGGGATTTCAGACAGATGGAGAGTCGCAAGCCACGGCATTGTTAAGTTCAAGCAGCCTGAAAGGCAGGTTGTAAAAACGTTTACAAACGCCTATACAGTCACTGTATAATGGACTGGTAAGCTTGAAAAAAAAACCTTACAATTTCCATAATGAACTTGAAATCAGGAAGTGTAAAACTTGTCCATTTCGCCTTTACAGACTGGCCAATTTGATACTGTCTTCCCCCCACCAAAAGATCTGCTTGGAGATTACTCTATATATGGTCTAGACGCATCAAAAATATAAATTTATCGTTACGGTTTCCATTTAGGTGTTCGAAGTATGGGAACTTCTCTTTGACATGATTAAAGAACACAGATCTTTCATTAGAATATAAAGTACAGTCTAAAATTAAAGTGTTGTTCATCTTCTATTCTACGTGTATTCATGTTTCAGTATTGACAGAGTCTATTCTGGAGAGGAATGCGGTTGTGCCTTCCCGTTTCAATGAGTAATTTGTGGCAACTTATTCGGAGTTTAGTTGCAGCTACCCAGTGTTGTATGTTGACTGATAGGTACTCTCCTTCTTCTTTCGTAACTTGTTGCTAGAAGATGTATCTCTGTTAGAGTGTTATGGTCAATTTGTGATTTCAGTAATAAATGTTTGGGTGTAAATATCTTTCAATCGTTGGCAGTAGTGATGGAGTTAATTATTGGTGATATGTTTGTGCCCAGAGATATATCAGGACGCTATGCGTAAGACGTATTCCTGCAAAGTTTTACAAATACCGGACGCCCAGCATTTGCCACTCACAAGTCTCTAGTTGTTGACAT